TATATAAACTTGGTCCATGGTTCCTACTGAGAGGTCCAGAAGGGGACCAAAGGTCTGGACTGCCACCTGACACAGTTCTTTTATGCATTCAGCCCTTTAGTCACAACTATGTGAAGGATCATCCTGGGCTCACAGATTCAGAAACATTACTAGGAGAAAACTGGCAAACTGCCTAACGTTCTAGGACTATAATAATCTGCTCTCCCACATCTACCTGCCATTGCCCTTCATAGCCTTGCAATAGGCAAAGACTTCTTCTCCCCAAAGCAACATTCTTTCTTTCAAACTCTTAAAAGAAAGTTATAGCTTCTGTGAATCTTATAACTTTAGTTACTGAGAGTAATAACGTTAAATATTAGATTTTTGGTAAGCTGATGGTAGAATCTGGCACCAGAAGAGAGGATTGTCCAACTTTTAAGATACATTTTTAACAATGAAATAGTATATTTTAAACACTATGTATTTAAAAATTTTTATGTGTGTATACAATGTGTCTAGAGCACATTGACGACTGTGGTTGTGGCCAAATATCTCAACCAATGAACAAGGAACCAGTGTAGTTTTCCTAAGAGTATTAGTCTTTGTGGAGTACATGGCTGCCAGTCAACACAGGTACTCAGTAATCAAAGCAGAGTAACAAGGATTTCCGTATCTTCCAACATTAGTCATTTCTCTGTGTGAGGACTTTCAAATGCCTCCTTCCAGTCACTTACAGACATATGGCAAGACGTGTTAGCCAAGAATTGCCTTACTGGGCTACAGCAAACCAGAATGAGTTCTCCCCATCTCTGTTTTGGTGCCCTCTGATCTATTGTCATTCTTAACCTTTAGTTTTTCAAGAAAGAAGTGAATTTTGAAGGGTTTCTAGATCACTATTTACCACTCAGTTCTAGCCCATGACTGGCTAATATAAGACAGAAGTATTTTGGTACTGAGGGATTTCTGGGTGGGATTGTGTGCTATTTGGACTTCCTTTTCCATTTTCCAGAGACCCAACAGGTAGGACATGCCCTGAGAAAACAGGAGTGGGCTTGAGTTGGTAAATGCAGATAATATGTAGTATGTGATGTCTGTGCTATCAAAACATGCTCTAATTTTGCACATTTGGAATTTTATCCTGAGTTGTATCATGAAGACACTTGGATCCTGGAACAGCCCATCTATGTCTTACATTCTGCATCTGACCAGGCTTACTACCTTTTCAGCTGCTCACCCAAACAACACTGCGTCTGCCCTACATTCCTGTGAGATCCTCCCAAATGCATCACTGGCTTTTAACCTTGTTCATCACTCCAGTCTAATCTCTACATGCCTCGGAGCAATGCTGTAAAGCACAGAGGGTGATCACCTTTAAGTTCATAGATCCAAGCTCCTTGTAATTATATTCGAGTCTTTGCTAAGCTTTTCAAATCGTCATTGAAGGTCCTGGGATTCTGTCCCTGCATGCTACCCAGAATGATCCTTCCACAGCCGTCCCTCTCTTCATTCAAGGCCCTGCTTCAGTGTCCTCCTCCTACAGGCCATGCCTGACTTATACAAATAGCCCTCCAGACATATGCATGCGTGTGCCCACAGATACCTTCCTCGGCTTTATTTTTCCTAATAGCACTCATTACCACCAGATAACACATATTCAATTATTTTCCTCTTACCCTCTTTGTCTTTGAGTTAAACTCAATGAACGTTTTCTGCTTTTCCAGATCTTAACCAAGCAGGTATATACTAAGAGTTTAGAAGATACTTATTCAGTAAGGGAATAATTGGCATTGTTCCTGGTAGGTTAAATTTGCAGTTTAAAAAATTGCGGCTGGTTGAGTAGTCTAAAGCAGGGAACTTCTTATATCTAAAATAATTCTCTTCTTTAAACAGAGCCCTCGATAATCCCTGACAAGGCTTTTCTACTGACGGCAGAGAGGGCTGTGGATGGGAAGACGGATGTCAGAGTGCACATCAAATGTAAAGACAGCAGTGCTTCTGTTACTAATAATTGGCATGCTGATGAGAAAGGGTTTAAGGGTCTCCTGAACAGGATATACTCTATGTTTAATAGATGTGTACTCCATAAGTTGATGCCATTTGTGAAGGTAAACAGGCTCGTGGATAGGGTGCTGCTTTGAAAGCTCTCTCCTCTGTTGGATGAGGCTTGATGTTTCAGTAGGAGACTGTTGAATGTCTCCTGGTCGTCCTAGAACCACCATGGGTATAAGAAGGGGTGGGTAGGATGGCTACCTTTGAATGTTTAATTTTCAGGCAATTGAGTTCTTTGTAATTTCCATTTTGAAGCAGGAAATACAAACACAAGGGGGAGTTTTTAGAATTTGTAGAATAAAGCTTAATTATATAAAAGGATAAATCACTAATTTCTAATTATGATACAAAGCAAAAGGGATGCTCAGATAAGAAGGTAGAATTACTGTTTTGAACACTGAGCAGGGTTGCCACAAATGTTGATATTCTTAGGTTGATACATGTTATGATCAGGTCTGCTCCCCTTCCCAGGTCTGTTCTTGGGGCTATTGCTCATGGGCAATTGCTCATGCTGCTAAGTGAATGGAATGTTTTCAGGGGTCCTGATCACTTTTTACACCTGAGGAGCTTGCTGTTTTCTTACCCTTTGGGGTCTGAACACAGTAAGGAATGCTGTCTGTCTTATAACTTAGGGATTACTCACTCATCTAATGACTTCTCATTTCAGGTTTTCATAAACCAAGGGGGACCAGGGATAATGCCAGATATCCTTAAATTGAAGTTTAAGGATAATTAAACTTCAATGAGTTTAATGGCAGAATGGTAGGCTCTATCTCATGCCATCTACTGCAGCCCACAGACATATCTCTTCTTAGCTTCCCGTGACTACTGGGGTCTACTGGGCTTCTGTAATCCATTTCTTGCTACTGCTCATACTAGCAGAGTGGGAGGCTATGGGTTTCTATGCTGCCTCAGAATCCAGCAACAAAATAAGCCCTTTAGCAATTGGCTCTGTGCTCCTCCTCTGTATCCACATTCCTTGTATGGGTTCCCATTTATGAATATGAACCCAAACTGCTGCCTTTTGCGACAGTAAAGCAATGGTCCAATGTCTCCACAAATATGATATGATGGGTCCCTGATGAGTTATCACTCCAGACACTGCCTCTTGTTGGCTCTCCCCTAATGTCCCTAACTATCTGCCATGGTCACCCTCATCTTTTAGGTGTCTGGACTCTGCTGCTCACTGGCATGAGGTGACTGATTGGTCAGGATCCTCTATGCCTGCCCCTTGCTCAGTCCCTCCTTTCCTGGAAGGCAAGTTGTACATTCAGCACTTTGAAACCCTTTGGAGAAAGACATCCTTCCAGGTACATAAATTACATACCAAAAAGAATCTTTTTGGAATGAAGAAAATGCACTCTATTGTCGGGGCAGCTGTCAAGCATAAGGCTCCACTAACAGCCCTGGCCCGTCTAACTCTGGCTGGGTATCTAACTCATCTAACCACACATCCACCTCTGCTTTATACATTACAGCACGGCTGGCTCGGGAGCCACCAGGACCTGCACAGGGATGGGCTTTGCTGGTCTAGCAAGTGTTTCTCATTGTCCTGTACTCAACTTAACCTTGGGTCTTTTCTTGTGTCCTTATTGCTCCCCTGTCTTTCAGTTTCTGGCTCATTTCTCATTAAACTCGCATATCTAACCCAATAGCAGGAGAAAAATTACCACTGTTCCCTAAAATAGCTTAAAATAGTACTAATTATATAGCATCTCCCCATTCATTCTCTCGAATTCCCAGATGAAGCATTTTCACCAAAGCTTACCACCTGACTGATGTAGCCCCCCCCCCCCCCAAAGGCTCCCTTGGATTCCAGATGCAAAGATTCAAGAAAGGAGTTTCCTAACATAATTTTTACTTCAGATGAGCCAAATTTATTATTTGAGATTTCACTCTGAAAAGAATAAAAGTATAAAGCTTGGCTAAGTTAGTAGCAGGAGAGACAATGAAAGGGGGTGCCTAGGAAGAAAAGTCAAGGCCAGAAAGGCCTGACATCCCAGCTCTGTGAGGAAGGTGGCTATGGGAAGTATGAGCCTTTTGAGGCAAAGGCAGAGAAGAGAGATGGGATTTGGAACAGTTGAACCACATGGCACTGAGCTTTTGTACAGTAGCCGAAGAGAATCTAGTGTTTCTTGGAATTACGGGCTTTGGAGTTGTAATCAACCATATCTAAGCTTCTGTGATATAGACAATTACACAGTCTGAACTGCCCAGTCCCTGAAGCCTATACGCATGCCACTTTGTGAAAGCAGAAGATTTTTCTTCAGAGAGAAACTTTAGTAGGTGATCGGGGGAGCATCCTTTCTTTTCACGGCCAAATGTTTATATGACAACTTTAGTACAGAACTCACGAGTCCTTAGGAGAAACGGCCACAGCCATCAGATATGTAGCATGTGGCTTACACAAGTGCTCCCATACATCAAAGTGCACACGTAGCTGGAGACAGTGAATGTATACACACATAAATATAGAAACAGTGGTCAAGTTTGAGCAAGATGTCTGCCCAGGATACTTTAGTTTAGAAAAACACTCAACCCTCCTGAGATTCCTCTGTGCTAAGATCAAAGCCTGATTTGTTTTGCCTTTTCAGTCACTTAAAAAAAAAAAAAAAAAAAAAAAAAGGCTTAATAAATAGCAGCCATTTCTCTGGGGTGCCCTTTGTCTCTGGGTACTGTGAAAAGAATTTCAGAAGTTTGAGAGAAGGCTTATCTGCATTCCTGAACCCCAGATGAGGCTGACTTTTGGATGTGTAAAATACTGAGCTTGAGCCCGGTCATTGTGTGAATGCTCTCATGTTTCTACTTGTTTTCTCCTGGATAAGTTCCTTCACTCAATATACTGGCTCAGGAAGAACCCACGGCTGGTGCATTACTGTTTCCTTGAATTTCCATATCATCGCTGCACAGGATGCTTAATTACTTAGCGTATTCCCTAGGAGGCATGGGAGTGGAAAGAGAGGCTTGCTTACTTGTGTTTATCTTCTGGAGGGAAATGTGCTTCTCCAGTTGTCTGCGGAGTTTCACCTCTGCTCCATATTTTCCTGTGGTCCCGTTGTCAGCCAGGATGAAGTGGGAATGCATGCTGTTGAGGACGGTGAGCTTGCTCATGGGGTTGGACATGGTCTGGTATGGCCGGACTACCTGCAGACAGCAAAATGAAGCCAATGTCAGAGAGGAGAAAAGATGTGAGGCAGAGGATGAGAGAGATTGAAAGGAAGCACAATGGTCCCCTGGTACAGTGAGGTGCAGCTGACACCCTCTCTCTGGAGCTAGAATAGAAGAAGGATTAATGGTAAAACCCCATTAGAAGGAAGACTGTTGCTAGAGAAGTGTTTCTTCCCAGATCTACAGGCTGTGCCCTCGCTGTGTTAGAGTCATGCTCTGAGGACTGTTTCATTCAAAACTGATATCGTGTGACTGAGCCAAACATCCTTTCTAAATTTAACTAATGTGTTTCTTTCTTCCCTCCTTCTGTCATGTCCGTGGTTTAATAGGTAGAAGTCATTATTCTGGAGAATGGGGCCAGTTTCAGAAGTTGGGGAAGGGGCAGTATTTTGCTGTTGTTGTGTTTGTTTGCTTTGTTGTTGTTCAATCTCACTTAGCAACCAGAAACTCTGTTATTTAAAATCAACATTATCCTTAATGACACTCCTTAAGTACAAAAGAGCTTGACTATAAAATAATCCTCTCAAGAGATGAAATTGAATCAGGCCTAAGAAGTTCATCTCTATTCTGTTCTCTCTCTCTCTCTCTCTCTTTCTCCTACTTTTAATTTCAAAAGGAATTGTACTCGTAAAATAGAGTATTTTCAACACAGTCTTTGACATCTTTGCTATCAAAAGTCGTATCTATTTCAACCTATTGCATTTCATATAGGATCTGCATTCCGCGTTACAATCCTACCTGACACATGATATTTATTTTGTAGGTGTGAAAGTAAAGAAGTAGATATATGAGTTACCCCAAAATTTAGACAAATCATCATACTTCACATTCAATGCCTGATTCAAAACTCTGAGCTTATGATTTTTTTTTCCCATGCTGCTTAGAGCAAATGAGACATACATTGTATTGGCAAACGATTGCTAAAATATGCAGGTTAGAGCTTCTGCTGAGAGAGGGAGAAAAGAGGGCGTTCAGTAGGCTCTCTGCTGCACACTCAGCACGGTCACATCTGCACAGAATCACTGAAACTGACAGAACAGGAATAGATGCTACCGGGCTCTGATTTTTGTGTCTTTGTGTAGTGTATCCATTAATTATACAGATGAGATGCACTTGCTTCTTTCGTCATGTAATAACTCAGCATGCAATGCTGGAGTAAGATTGAGTCGTGTGTTAAAGGCATTACAGGGTGATTTAGTGAGGGCAGTTTTCAATAGCAAAGAGCTCATGGAAGCCATTTTTTATACCTTGATCTTGATTCCAAACCTACAGTGCAATGTGCCCGGAAGATGAAATGCACTCAATAAACTGAATGAATAGGCAAACCTGAGACAGTCATGCTTTTGTTCAAACCTGGGAAGGCAGTAGATCTCCTCTTTCCAGAATTGTTAGGGAGCTGATCTGATTTAAATTTAAAATGTGTCTATTACTATGAAATGGTCTCCAGTCCTGTTATATGTATTCTAGTTTTTAACATAGCATTAATATAATGCCACAATACTCAGTTTCATTTTAATTGCTCCTTGTTGATTTTTAAAGCTGATAACCTTGATGTTGGCCTCGAAAAGCCTCATGGGCAGTAGTCAATTGCTGTCTTGTCCAGAACAGTGAGTGGGATTCTTCCAGAATGAAGAGGCCTTCATTGGGAAGCTTGTCCTGCACGCTACAGCACTGGGAGAGTGGGTGGCTTGTGGTTGAAATTTCCATTTGTTGCCACTCATATTTGATCATAAAACATTCATCCTACAGGGGAGTGCATGCTAATAAATATTAATGCTTTGCCGGAAGGCTTAGCAGAAAGATTTTCCCTGTTCTGAAAGGGCCTCTCCACTGCACATTGGGCAAAGGCAAATGCTTCAGTTACAGTGCTGGTTTTCAGAGGCAGGTCCTGAGAACTCAGTGCTGAGGGGCAGCTCCATAAGGGACAGAGGAAAATGGAGTTCTGGAGGTTAAACAATATGCAATAGCCATTTGTGTTATCTCCCTCTCCCTCCATTTTAAGTTCTGAATCTACTTAAAGACAACTAGTAAAAGCAAAAATTTCAAGTGGAATAAAAAAGGAATAAGGATTATTGTGAATTCAGCTGAGTACCACATCACAAAATAAAGGCAATTACACAGTCTTCCTGTGACAGTAACATCTCTTTCCTCCATTATGGAATCCTATGTCCACTGGTGCTTCAGTCGTTGGGTGCATGACAACCTTCTCTTATGAAATATAGCCCAGGAGTACTTAGGGAATTCTGCACATCTGCAGATTTTGATTTCTTCATTATCCAAATCACCTTTTCTTTTGTTCTCATGTGTAACAAGCTATAGGTTATCATATTTTAGCAGAGACCTTGTCTGCTGAACAATAGAGAATATAAATCTGAAAAATGAGTAAAATTCCCCTGTATTTCTCTCTTCTTTAGGGGAAGCTGTACAGGGTCCTGGAGCATCCCCAACAACATAAATCAAGGGAGGAATTGCAGTTCTGTTCATGGCTGTTGAAACTCGAGTCTCTTATTTTGCAAAGAGGAAATAATAACACTGCCGACCTCAGCGGAACTGCTTTAGATTACACGTGTGAAGTACCAGGCTCACTGCCCAGCTCCTACCGGGCTTTCTAGAAGTATTGACTTTTTGTTTTGCTCTCTTAGCTCTCCTTATAAGTTCCCTCTTACCAACTATATGCTTCTAGTTGTAAACCAGTGATCAAAACATAATATTGGATAAATCACTCACTTTTTATTTAGATCAGTGCAAGGAGAGGAAGAAAATCAGCCATCTGTTGGCAAAATATGCAAAATATGTTTTAATTTTCACATCCCTCAAGGCATCTAAGAAAGTGATGGTGTGCAACCATTTGTTGATTAGCTGAAAGTTTTGAAATAATTTCCAAGTACTTTAGAGACATGTATTTTGGTTTAACTTGCCTACAAAATCCATTTAATATTCTTCATTACAAACATGTCTGCAGTCTCTTCCTATTAGAGTTACAGTCTGCATATATACAAATATTTCCTGATCATTCTTGAGTGTTTTCCAAATAGAACAAATATTGCTTTTTTCATCGTAGGAATACAAGTGTACTTCTCCTTCTTCCAGGTTTTAGAGGCAGCACAGTCAATTTCATCACCAAGAACTCATACAGAGAAGATGGCTGTCTTTGGAAGTGTGTGTTGCTATGATTGTGATGTTTTCATCATATACTGGATGACTGTGGATGCTTCTCAGTGGGGACTTTGTGAGAGGTTAAATCATAAAGATCCATAGCCTCCATGGGGTAAGATGTTCACTTTCGCTCCTAAGAAGTTAGGAGAGCTGAAGCTATGTACTCCTCCTTGGAAGAATTGAGAAGGCAGGCACCCAAATAGCTTTCAGCATTTCCTTCTTGAGATCATACCTAACACTGAGGAATGTTGAGCAGTGTTAGAGAGACTTTTTAATCAGTCTTCATGATTGGCAAGTAAGTCTACTTAGAAGAGGACTCTAGACACTTCCTACTCTCTGGCCATCACTAGTCACAGTTGCATAAGTAATAATTTTTTTCTCGTCCCTCAAGAGTAAGTGAACATATCTTTACTTGTTCACCCATTGCTTATCATTTAGTACTGCGCTGGGCACTTGATAGAATTCTGCCTCATGCCTCTATGTACGCCTTAGTTCCGAAAGAGAACGCCTTTGAGGAGTGAGATCTTGTAAGAGGTTATGCAAGGCGTTAACAGGACGTGTCCTTTATGTGTTGGTCATAGACTGTTCCATTTGTATTCTGAACCTAGGCTTAAATCAGTCATTTGCAGATAACTGCGGGAGCTTTTCTAAGTATGTTCAGGCATGTCATGGTCTCATGTAAGAAGAGTTACAGAAAACCAACATAGAGAGACTATAGTTAGCTTCTATAGCTACTACCTTGTCACCTTGGGCAGATATCTGAATTCATGGCTCATTACTTCATAAATTTCTTGAGGACATGCAGCCTGTGATGGTACTATGCTGACCTGAGGACATACATGGTCATATGTCAAGATAATATCTCCTAATAAATGTTCAAGATATGCTAAGTTTTCTTATCTATCAACGACAGGACTCATAACTTCTGGAAGCTTCCTTCCTCTAACACTCGAGGCTGTATACACTTTGCAAGAAAACATGCTTCCTGATTCAAGGCAGTGGCAAACAATGGCCTAAAATGAGTGTTGGCTACAAAAGTAAAGTCACATCCTCTCTCATGCATCGCAACCTCATCTCTCTTCTGGTACTCTGTTCACTGCAATGGCAGTTTGGCTACCTGAGATGCCTTTTCCTAACAGAATTGAGTTGGGATAAATTGGTTTTTTTCTCTCATCAATCAGAGGCCCTCAGCAGTTCCAAGTCCATTTCGTAGTGACTTGTGTACCAACATGACCCAAACAAACAGCAGAGTTGGGGACAAACGGCCCAAAGAGTCATCTTCTTCTAATAGCAACACAGTTTTAATTTAGGCCAGAAGAAAATAAGCATTCATTGACCACGTCTAGCATGCCGTGCACTGAGGACAAGATCCCATGGAGTAATGCTTCATCTTTCTTTTATCCAGGGCTCTGTGAGGCTCTGAGATGCGAGGTGTCTTGGCCAAATGTGTCCCACCACTCACTCATGCCTAGATCTGAAGTTCCCTTTTAAGCCAGCACGCATTAGGAAGGAAAACACAGGACTGTCTCATTTTAAATTTGTGGAGGATGCTCTGGTTGGCTTTGCTGCTGGGCATTTTGGTTACTGGCTTAACTGGGTTTGGAATCCTTCAGACAGCTGGGCACACTGTTTCCTGTAGAGCCATCTAGAACAGTTATTTAGGAGGTCAGGGAAGGGACCAGCAGGGAGCCACATGGGATTGGTGAGAGAGAAATGAAAGTTGAGATGCTCTAAGGATTCTGGCATCCCTGTGACTGTTGGGGAAAAGAGGTACTACTGAGAAGCGGGAAGCAACCTTTGTGTCAGAGATAAAGAAGCAT